CTCTACACCCCATCCACACCCTACACCCAACACCCCCACCCTACACCGCACCCCACACCTCATCCACACCCACACCCAAGCCCTAAACCCCATCCACACCCTACACCCCACACCCCCACCCCCACCCTACACCCCACCCCACACCACAGCCCCATCTACAGCCCTCCCCATACCCCAGAACTCCTATCCCCCACTCACCAACCATGCCCACACCCTACACCTCCCACCAGCACCCACCCCTGTACCCCTGAGGGGGCACTCCTGCTCCCCACAAGCCTGGCAGCCCCTCCTCCTCTGCCTCAGGACAGGCCTTCGCTGCAGATCCTGCTCAGGAGACGTGACCCCGGCCCCTGTGGAGGGGGTGCTGGCCCCCAGTCCTGCCCACCTGGGCCCCGGGCCCGCCAAGGTCAGTGCCACAGGGACCCTCCACGTGTGCCGGTGGGGCGGGGGTGGGGATCCCTTGGGCTGCAAGTGGGGAGAGCACATCTCAGGGCAGACCCTGGGTGCCAGCTTCGAGGGTTTGTGCCACACCCATGTGCTCATTATTTGTAGAAAATATTTTCCCTTCTTGGCCCTGCAAGGTGGCTCACGCCTGTAATCCCAGCACTTTGGGAGGCTGACATGAGCAGATCGTGAGGTCAGGAGTTCAAGACCAGCCTGGCCAACACGGTGAAACCCCGTCTCTACTAAAAATACAAAAATTAGCCGGGCGTGGTGGCTAAATTTACAGGCGTCTGTAATCCCAGCTACTCGGGAGGCTGACGCAGGAGAATCGCTTGAACCCAGGATGCGGAGGTTGCAGTGAGCCGAGATTGTGCCACTGCACTTCAGCCTGGGCAACAAGAGTAAAACTCCATCTCAAAACATATTTATATATATTTTCCATCAAATGAGCTCTTTTTGGCAGCTTAAATGTAGTTAAAAAAGAAGCTCCCCCCGAGGGTTGGTGACGGTGAGATCATGGTTGGCTGTGAGGCCCTCACAGCACGGGCCTGAGAGTCTGCCAGGGCACCCTGGGTGGGGTGAGGGGAGAGCAGGAGCACCCGGCCTGCAGGAGCAAACCCCCACCCTGCATGACCCCTCCAGGCTGTCTCACCCGCAGTCCTCCCTGGGGCCAGGACCCACCCCATTTTGTGGCCGGAGCCCTCCCAGAGAGGCAAAGTGACGCCAGGTCCAGCCAGTAGCTCTTCCTGTCCTCCCGCTCTGGTGTCAGAGAAGGCCCGGGTGGTGGGGAGACCCGTGACGGCTGGGGTGGCCAGGCTTGCCCTGGAGCTGGGTGTGGGGGAGGCCCGAGTCCCTGCTGCACGACCCTCCAGGGGTGCTGGCCTCTTGCCTTGACTGTCCCTAGCAGAGGCCTCCTGAGCACGTCCCAGCCGCCGTGGAAACTTTAGGGATCCTGGGTGATTACATGTCCCACCCGCTGCATGTGGCTCCTGCTCCTTCCCAGCTGTGCCTCCACCCTGTATACACTGTGGGTGACAGGCCACCCGGCATGGTACTCTCCAGGAGGGTGACAGGCCACCCTGGCATGGTACTCCCCAGGAGGGTGACAGGCCACCCGGCATGGTACTCCCCAGGAGGGTGACAGGCCACCCGGCATGGTGCTCTCCAGGAGGGTGACAGCCCACCCGGGCATGGTACTCCCCAGGAGGGTGACAGGCCACCGGCATGGTATTCCCCAGGAGGGTGACAGCCCACCCGGGCATGGTACCCCCAGGAGGGTGACAGGCCACCCTGGCATGGTACTCCCCAGGAGGGTGACAGGCCACCCGGGCATGGTACTCCCCAGGAAGTTGACAGCCCACCCGGGCACGGTACCCCCAGGAGGGTGACAGGCCACCCGTCATTGTACTCCCCAGGAGGGTGACAGCCCACCCGGGCATGCTACTCTCCAGGAGGGTGACAGCCCACCCAGGCATGGTACTCCCCAGGAGGATGACATCCTGCCCCAGCATGCAGGCTCTGGCCTGGCATGGCCAAGCCTCAGACTAAGCCCTGCCCTTTGGGGCTCATGTGGAATACTGTCCCCTTCCTTCTGGAAGCCTCCCTCCGTGTGTCTGGGGGCCCAGCCAGGCCTAAAGCAGATGCCCCTCCCCTGCCCAGGTAGTCTTCCTGCGGCTGCTCAAGCAGCGGTCCTGGTCATTGACCTCCTGGGCTCTGTCTCTGAAGGGCAGAGGCCTCTTTCTCTTCACTGCGATGTGAAATGTGGTGCCATGTTAGAGGAAACGTCCTGCTGGCCTCGGCCCCTCCGCAGCCTGCGCCCTTCCCTGGGGAAGGTTGTGTGTAGCCCCGACCCCGTCTTGAGTAGGTCTCCCACCCCCTGACAGCATCCCTAGGACCAGGGAGCATCCAGGGACTTTCCCTCCAGACCCAGCAGCCACCCCGCAGCCAGGCAGGGCGGCAGAGCCTTGCACTGCCAGTGTTCACCGGAGTGGAGGAGCTGACATTTGGCTGTTTTGGGTTACAAATGGGTGATTCCATTAATAGAGTCTCTCTGCAGGGGATGCCCGCCTGGGGACCTCCCCCACTCTGACCGCTAACCCAGGGCATGGCTGGCCCTGGTGGTACCTGCTGGGGGTGGGGCTGGCATGAACCAGGCACTTTCCTCTCTGGGCCTCAGGCTTCCGCCTCAGAGTGGGGGGTCCTTGCTGGTTCCCTGAGTCCCCTCGTTTTCCCCAGGAAGCCGCGCCGTATGGAGGCTGTCTGGGGGCCTTGGGTAGCTGGTTTCCCAGTGGGCAGGACCCTGGGCAGGCATCCCCAGCCCCCTCATGCCCACGCCACCTGATGCCCCTGCCCCCAAAGGAGCTGGGTGTAAGAATTCCCATCTCAGTGGGGGAAAGCACCCCTGAGGCCCTAGGCCCTGTGGCCTCTGTGGGGAGTCCTGCTTCTGTGTCCCCTGAGGGCTGTGGAGTTGGGTTGACCTCTTCTCTTTCCTGGGTTCCAGGACGACACTGCGAGTCAGGAGCCCACTCCGAACAGGGATGACCTGGAGTCCCTCCTGAGCGAGGTAACTGATGCCTCCCCTGGCCTCCGAGGTACCTGCCATTCCTCCATTCCCCTCTCCTACCTCAGCCGCCACCCAGGCTCTCCACTCTGGGCACGCTGAAGACTGCAGGCCCCTGCCCCTCCTGAGCCACGGAAACTCAGGCTGTCTCTGCTCCACCCACCACCAGGAGCCCAGTGCTGCTGAGCCCCCAGCACCCCCCACAGGTGCCCCCCAGCCCCCCACAGGAGCTCCAGTGCTGCTGAGCCCCCAGCACCCCCTACAGGCACCCCACAGGAGCCCAGTGCTGCTGAGCCCCCGGCACCCCCCACAGGTGCCCCCAGCCCCCCTCACAGGAGCCCCAGTGCTGCTGAGCCCCTGGCACCCCCCATGGGTGCCCCCCAGTCCCATCCACAGGAGCCTCCCCGTCCCCTCCCCCTGCAGGAGCCCAGTACTGCTGAGCCCCCCGCGGCCCCTCCCCTGAGCACCTGGACACTGGCAGGCAGAGGCTGGAGCACCAGGCCAGCTCAAGATCCACTTTCCCTGGGGAGGGTGCGGTGTGGAGCAGTGGGGAGGGCCCAGCCCAGACCCTGTCCCTCCATCCCTCAGAGGGGTTCTTGCCCCTCCCTCTCCGGCCTCTCTAAGCTGCGATGGGGAGGTAGAATCTGGGGAAATGTGACTTTTTAAAGGGCTCTGTTTTTGACAAGAGGACGAGCTCCTCCCGCCTCCACGTGTTCCCCTCAGTGTCTGGCGTGGTGTCTGGGGGTCCTAGCCGACCATGGGGTGGGGGTCCTGCCCTGTGCAGTGGCGTGCCCCACACACCCTGATGGTTCCGGTGTTGAGAGAGCCCCAGGGCCCGGGAGTGGGCGAGGGGACCCGGTGCCGGGTAAGAGTGCTGCCTCTCTGGACGGGGTCCCCGGATATACCTGGAGAGAGGAGGGGTGGGCTCACAGCCTCCCTGGGGCTTATTCTGCTGGCACCGTGGGCTCTGTGGCCCCATCCTGTGGCAGCATCGGGCTCCTGAGCAGAACGAGAAGCAGCTGGCCCTGACCCCCCACCCTGAAGGAGCCACCCGAGGAGGCAGAATTGCCACGGGGTAGTGCCACGGGTTACTGGGTGCGGTGAAATCCACAGGATGGGTTCTCCCCAGACTGGCCTGTGCCGTGGGGCCTCGGGCCTGTTTCCCCACCTTTGAATTAGAGGGAAGGTTGGACGGTGACTTCTAATGAAAGCCATGATCCTGTGGCCATGGCAGGGGCACACCTGGAGTTCTCGCTGTTGCTCTGTTCCGCAGCACGCCTTTGACGGCATCCTGCAGTGGGCCATCCAGAGCATGGCCCGCCCGCTGGTGGAGGCGGCTCCCTTCCCCTCCTGACCCCGGACGGCCAGGATAGCCGGCGGCCTGGAGCTGCCCTCCCTCCCAGGGGCAGCAGACGGCGCTGAGCTCCCCCTCACGCCACGCATCTCTGATCAGAGGGCGCCGAGAAGGATACCTCCTCCCTTAGCCCTGGAAGCCGGCCGGCTGGGACCAACAAGAAGGGGCAGCACCACGTCTTGTCCTCGGCTGCAAACACAGCCCTGTGTTTTGCAGACAGCAGCCATCACGCCTGGAAATTAAAACCTGTGGTTTCGAGTTACTTGTTGGGGGGGCATTTGTTTGGGGCGTTCCTACACCTGGTGCCTGAAGTGTTGGCCATGCCGGCTGGAAGGGAACCTGCCTAAGAGAAGAGCAGTGCCCATGGGCAGGAGTCACACCCACAAGCCCACAGGCTCTGTCCCCTGCCTCCCTCTGCTCCCCAGCAACATCCAAGCCCTCGCTGTGGCCCTAAGACGCTGCATGATTCAGCCCCACCCCACCCCAGCCTCCACCCCTGGCTGTGCTCTTGGCCTCCCTCTGTTCCTCAAGCAGCCAGGCTCGTTCCTACCTGCCGGCCTCCACAGGGGTGTTCCCTCTGCCTGCACGTTCCTTCCCCTGGGGCTCTGAGTCCGGCTTCTCATCATTGACATCTCAGCTCCAATGTCATCTCCTCATTCATTCATTCATTCATTTAAGAAACCTTTTTTTTTTTTTTTAAGAGACAGGGTTTTACCATGTTGGCCAGGATGGTCTCGATCTCCTGACCTGGTGATCCACCTGCCTCAGCTCCCCAAAGTGCTGGGATTACAAGCATGGGCCACCACGCCCAGCCTAAGAAAACTTTATTATACAACTTCTGTACCCTGGGCATTTTCCTGGGACTTGGGGGATGCCTGAGGGACATTCTGGTGGGAGAGGTGGATCATGGAAAGAAGGAGGGTGACCTTGGACTGGGTGACTTCTGCAAAGCAGGAAACGGGCACGGCAGGCTGTGCGTGTGCTGGGGTTGCAGGGATCCCATGGAGGAAGAAAGGAGCTGGAGGTGTGCCGGCCAGTGCAAAGGCTGAGTGAGGGAGCCCGCATGGCAGGAGTGCAGGTGGATGCCAGGGATTAGGGCACAGCGGCCACGGTGGGGGAGGCGTGGACAGTGCTGTGCCTTACCCTGTTCACGGCACCTGCCACAGCTTGCAGCCTCTGCACCGGCAGAGGGACCAAGGACTGTGAGTCCTCGCCACCACCCCAGTCACTGCTCCTTCCTGTGCAGGGTCTCACACTGGCACCCATTCGAGGAGAGATCTTCGGCCACTCCCTGACGCCAGGTCTCAGAATTCTCACCTGGGGAGGCTGCGCCAGGAGCCCTGTGGGTGGGGAAGTTATGACAGCTCCGCCATCTCCTTCCACCGACGCTGACTGACCAGCTGAGCTGGCCTTCAGGTTGTGGCCGAGAACTGGACAGGGTCTTCCTCTCCCAGCTGCTGTCCTTAGGGAGATGGAAGCTGGTGCAGAGGCTGTGAGCCGTGGCAGGTGCTGTGAACAGGGTAAGGCACAGAGCTCGTTCTGTCGCCCAGGCTGGAGTGCAGTGGTGTGATCTTGGCTCACTGCAACCTCTGCCTCCCGGGTTCAAGCGATTCTCTTGCCTCAGCCTCCTGAGTAGTTGAGAATACAGGCATGCGCCACCACATCCAGCTAATTTTTGTATTTTTAGTAGAGACAGGGTTTCACCATGTTGGCCAGGCTGGTCTCTACCTCCTGACCTCAGGTGGTCATCCCCCTCAGCCTCCCAAAGTGCTGGGACTACAGGCATGAGCCACTGTGCCCGGCTTGTTTTTCTTTTATAGTAGCCATCCAACGAGTATGAGGTGGTATCTCATTGCGGCTAAACCACATAGGTTTAAGAATTTATGTGTGCGACACCCCCACACCCCACGATGAAGCTGTAAGAAAAGGGAGAGAACAATGACCCAAAATGTCAGCACCTGGCTGCCTCGGGGTAGACGCGGGTGTCTTCTTAGCACTTTTTGGCCCACACACATGTGCTTATGCAGTCTTTTGGGGTGTTTCCTAACATTTCACGATTAAATAAGGAGCAGTGGGTATTGGCAGCCACCATTTCCCGAAAATAGCATATGTAGAGAAAAACGCACAAACCCTAGTGATCAGCCCGCTGAGCTTTCACACAGCAGCCAGGCCTCATCCCAATACCCCAGGTGTGCCTGAGGGCCTGGCCCCAACACCCCAGATGTGCCCGAGGGCCTCGTCCCAACACCCCAGGTGTGCCCGAGGGCAGGGCCCACTGTGTGGCCCACGAGGGAGGCGGCTCTCACGTCCACCTGCTCTGCACTTCCAGGGCTCAGGGCCCGAGACCTTCCCAGGGGCCCAGCAAATGTGAGGGAGGAAGGGAGGGAGGGAGGAATGCGGGCTGCTTCCCGCCAGCGCCCCGTTTGGGCTCGGCCTCCGCTGAGGCCTGAAGGCAGCCCAACGGCCCCTGGGTGGCAGGAGGGCGGTGGCTGTGGCCGACGGCGAACCTCCGGAGAAGCGAAGCTGGGCCTGACGCGCCACCGGGGCCTCAGCGCCGGCGAAGGGACGCCTCGGGCCAGCCCCGCCCCGGGCCCCGGCGCACCTCGAGGCCGCGGGGTGGGGGCTGCCCGGGACTCGCTGCTCGGGGCCCGCGTTCCATGGCCCAGCTTTAGGAACGCAGAGCGGAAAGGCGCCCCGTTGGGCCCAGACCAGGATCCCCGCGCGCCCGGTCCAGGGAAGTCCTGCGAGGAGGCGCCGCGACGAGGCCGGGGCAGGCAGGGGCGGGGTCCGGGGCGGGTCCGGGGGGGCGGGCAGGGGGGCGGGTCCGGGGCGGAGTGGGGCGGGGACGGCGACGCGGCGCGGGCGGCTGGAGCGCGAGCTGAGTTCGGGTCTCGGCCGCCGCCATGGCCGCGGTGGACCTGGAGAAGCTGCGGGCGTCGGGCGCGGGAAAGGCCATCGGCGTCCTGACCAGCGGCGGCGACGCGCAAGGTGGGCGGGGGTCCCGGCGCGTCGCGGTGCAGCGGATGGGGGGCGCCCGGCCCCGGCCCCTCCCGAGCGCCCGCCGAGCCCTGGGACCCGGGCCTCCCTCCCGCCCCGGCCTCCCTCTCGCCCCGGCCTCCCTCTTTCCCCGGCCTCCCTCTTTCCCCGGCCTCCCTTCCGCTCCGGCCTCCCGCCCCGGGTCCAGTCCCCGGCTCCGGCTCGCGCGCTCTCAGGCCTACGTGCGGCTGGCCACGTTCCCGACCTCCGCCTGGGTCTTGGCGCCACCCGCGCCCTGCCCCGGGGGGTGTGTCCGACTCCGGGCCGCGGAGCAGGACCCCCGAGGATTCCTAGAGGCCACGCTGGGCGGTGGGCGTCTGTCCCGCGCCCCAGAACCCGGCCCTTCCTGGTCCTGAAGCGACCTGGGGACCCGGTGCTTCCCGAGGGCCGGCGCCAGGCTTCGGGCTTCCGGGACCTCCCCCGGCAGCGCAGGGCGGGCTCACCCCGGGACCGCGCCGCCTCCTCTGGCCCTCGCGGCGCCTTCCGTGCGAGTCTAGCTGGCGAAGAAGGCGGGTGGGGAGATGACCTGCCTGGGCCTTGAGCGCAGCATCGCTGTCCTCCTTTTTCTAGGGGTCCTGGGGGAGGCCCCAGGTGGTGGGGACTGGGACTTGGCAGGCCTGGGTGGGGGTCCGGCCTGGGGAATGACATGTTCTCGCAGTCTCCCTCCTGGAGGCCTGGTCCTGCCTACTGTCAGCCTCCAGGGTCTCTGGCCTGACATGTCCAGTGTGGCACCTGTGGCTCAGGATGCCACCTACCCTAACCCTCAGGGGGAGAGGGGAGAGGACTTAGGAACCCAGAAGGGAGGTCCTGCGCTGGGGAGGTGACCAGCCAGCAACCCCAGTCTGTGTAGCGTGGCTTGGTGTGTCTCTTTTCGGGTCCAGAAAATGGTTGAGAAAATGCAGACACACCCCACTCAGCTTCAGGCACCTGACCCTCCTTTCCCTATCTGGAAGCCAGGAAGAGGGAGGAGGAAGCAGGCCTTGATGGGGACAGAGCCAGGGAGTGGCCCACAGCTGTTTGAACTGCAGCCTTCGGAGGGGCTCCTTCAGACCTGGCTGAGCTGGGCCCGTGGTGGCAGCTGCCGGCCCTTCTCTGGGCTGTGGCAAGAGCAGGAGCTGCTGCTTGTTGCTGGCCACAGGCAGTGTCCTGGAGTGTGGCCTGGTGGGCGTGGGCCCAGGTGGGAGAGGAGGCCCATGGCCTTGGAGGGTGAACTCAGGAAGCCCCATCCCATGAGAAAGGCCCAGGTCAGGAGGCCAGACACCGAAGCAGGGCTGACCCCCCTGCCTACCAGGGAGGTGCTTTCTTGGTGAGGCTGGTGAAGCCCCAAAGCCCACCCTGTGAATCCCAGAAACACAGAGGGTCCTCAGCCTGCTTCCTTGTCTACAAAGTGGGGGGATGCCAGCAGCAGAGGTTTGGGAAGGTTCAGAGCCCAGCCTGCACCCCTCCCCCCTGCTGCCCTGTGTACAGGCTAAACAGAAGGGGGGCCCACCGGAGGTTGCTGAAAGGCCAGCTTGGCAGGTGGGTCTTGGGCCAGTTGGGAGGGGCACCCAGGGTGACAGACAGGCGGTTCTGGATGGTGGTGGAGGGTCTGGAGATGAAAGGCCCCTCCTGGCCCCCTGGGCCGGCTGGCCAGCCAGCCTGTCGGCTGGGTGGGCCTCCCATCTCTGCCTGAGCTGGGGGTTCCCACTGGCTAGCCTGGCCCAATTGCCTGACGTGGGGTGGGCAGCGCTTCCTGGCTACAGCTGGGAGGGTGTCCACAGTGCACCTGCTGGCCTGTCATGCCATCCCAGCTGGGCCCATTCCTTCCTCTATAAATGTCCTCCCTTACCAAGTCCAGAGGCAGCTGCAGTGTCTCTGTGTGGGGCCTCCCACGCGTGGACAGGGAACAGGTGGTTTTCTGCGAGGGAGGAGGACTCCACACACTTCCCTAGTTCAGGGCTGGGGCTGATGTGAGGAGGACAATCGGGGGCCAGTAGGATGCGGGAGCTGGCATTCTGGGCAGAACCAGAGCCCTTCTGTCTCATGAGTTCTGAAAGGCAGTCTACGGGGCTCTCCCTGGCCCCCACTGCTGCTGCAATGCAGCTCCCCGTGATGGATGCTCCGTTTTCCTTCTTGAGCCTCCACTGCCTTCCAAGAAAGGCCGACCCTGGGTGAGGGAAACCCATGGCCTAGTGTGCCCTTCTCTGTGCCCCCTGTGTCAGCCAGGCAGCAGGAGAGCAGGGACTG